GATCCACCACGTTAACTCCATGCCAAGGAGAGTTAAAATACTCGCATCATGTGGAGTGTGAGTCAACAAAGCACACACGTGCGATCCTGCCGCTCGTATCACGGAACCTCAATGGTTCGTAAGTCTCAAGAGGGGATGGCGAACGCCGACCTTCAATCTGCACCCAAATCCCACGTACCCTCAAAACCACAAATTCCCTTAACAATACTCTGAGATGCAACAAAAAGCAGCAATGGAATGCCCTGCACGGCTGGACCTGGAGTCTGACCTAACAGACGAGGATCTCCCAAGCCATCGATATACTGCATTGGGATCCCTCGGACAAAGTAGCAGGTGAGGGCACCTCGAGAACAGGCGCCATGGGTTGTGGTTTTTTGATGTCAATGATATAGAAGGCAATTCCTTCCTGTTAATTAGAATGATCTAGTTTGACCATCCGGACTGTACAAGGTGAAAAAAGCACTTTCCTCACACACACATATATACTGATGTTGAGTAGGTGGCGTTACACTCCTACTAATCCGCTCAGAAGTGCTCATCCCCAATTCCTCAAAATTGTGAATTTGCACCGAATTAAGAAAAGTAGACTATGTTCATCAAGCAAAACTATGACCAATACGGAACTTTCCGTTTTGGCGTTTTGGAAAGTCTGCTTTCGGCACGGCGCATAGTAGATTTGGGTTCCTGTGAAGCACCGAATACATTATTTGGATTTCACAAATTGTGCGATCTCGTCGGTCGGTGTACGAGGGGGAAGAAACCGCCATTGAGAAATGCCCTCCACATTCATGCCGAGCAATGGCGGCTCGGGGGAATGACCCTGGAAACGATTTGACGGAACCACTTCAAAATTCGGTGTTCCTTCCACGCGCGGGTGTCACTGCAACAGCAAGATTGGCATTCCTGTCGCATGGATATAGTCCTCGGTTGGGCTGAGCAAACGTATAACCAATGAGGTGGTGTGCTTTCTCTGCGCAGTTATTGATGACCGAGCTGGACCCCAGCAGCTCGCTGCAACGGAGCACTTGGTTTTAATTTCTGGTGGCAGCTCTAGATTCAAACAGACTCTCAGCGATGCTCACATTCAGCGATGCAAAGGTAGAATTTAGCTCGCCAGAGCTACCGAGGGCGTTATGAAATTGGCAGCGAATTTGTGATTTCGTACTGGTATATACGTGCCCACACGCACACTTACATTAAAATAAAAGACTCCTCGCCATTTAGCCTTCGAGACCATAGCAATAATTTGTTGGATATGACCTACGAAGGGCGGCGCAGTGCACGAGGCTGAGAGAGCGCAGTCAGCTCCACACCCGGTCACCTTTGTATCCCCAATATCGACATTTACACACAGTATGAGGTCCTCATTTCAGGCCGCGTCAATGTAGCAGAGGCCTCAAAACAGGTTCAGATATGACGTATGTGACCGGTAAACTTAATTAGCGCAGACAAGGGGGCAAACACACACGTCTTGTGAAGAAAGTTAAGGGGCACCCAGGTGCTGAATACTGTTACGGGGGTCTTTGGTTGAACAGCAAGCGTTTAAGGGAAGCCCATCCATGGGTATTCAGCCATACACACCGTACAGACGGCACTAGTTGTCTGTATTGTAAACATGACACTGTTTTACCGTACTGTGATCCAGAGTCCATGGCACGTTTCAGAATCGGTGTCATCCAAGCTGCAGAAACATTCACCTTTTTAAAAGTCTTAATGTGACCAACACAAGTCAATGAGACGTCCCTGCTATTTTTTTTAGAAAATCATGAAATTCACGTTTAATTAGCCATATAAAAACACTAGTACCACCAACGTCACGTCTTAATAGTACTGACAAGTTGCATCTGTTCAGCAACCCGTGAACGATCCAATATGCTCTGGGCCACTTCCCAAACACGGCACTGCCTCTCACATTAGCGTAAATGTTTTTATCAGTGCCGAGTTATATCACGACACATTCGATGCTACCATCTGTAACAGTTGGTTTGGCCATTGCAAGTTGCGCGTGCCGAGTTGACGCGGTGCGTTTTTATTAGGCTTAAACTTTCTTCACTCGGTATAATGTTTTATACCTGCAAAAATGTTGTTTTACAGAAAACTTTAAACTTGCGAGCATGAACATGAAATATTTTTTTTAATCCAAGCATTTGCAAAAAAACCCCTAAAACAAATGTTAGCATTATAAGCTAAATTTCACCAAAAATGGCAATCCAAGCAGTACCGATGTCTATAGATAGCCAATGAAAATGAATGTCCATAATTCCGCAGTTAAAGAAAATGGACAATTCATATTCTTAGCTCTTTCGGTAAAGTCGCGTTGAATGGAAAGAGCTAAGAATATGAATTACTGCAGTCACGAAAGCTTTAAATCAAAATGGACAATTCACTTTCAATTCCCTTTTACTGGCCATCTAAAGAATAGGACCGCTGGTACATTGTCCACATGCCACGCATGCCCTAAAGACTAAGCTGCAGGCAACAAGAAGATACTTTGTGGCTTAAAACTTAAGTTCCAGGAGACCTGAGTTTAAGGGACAATGCATGTGTTACGGTGGGGAGTTACAATTTAAGGCACGGATATTTGGGGACCAAATCTCATGTTTTTGCTGGAAGGTTGTTTCCGTCACAGTAGTAGAATTTTTTTTTCCCAACTCACCGCTATTTTCTGCAGTGCGTCCCAGTTTCCTTCATATTGTGCAATGCTAAAAAACGAAACGTCCCAATTCACCCCAGAGCAGCACCTTTTCAGAAATGGGTCTTGGGACTCGAGTAAAAATCAACGTAAACTAAATAAATAAATCTTATCTGTGGAAATGAGCATGGGGGGTGGGTGCTCAAAGCCACCGGGGTGAGAATTTCCCGTGAAAAATGGTGGGGGGTCCAATCCCTCCGATTGACAATCCACTGCAGACTTCCCACACATCGGTACTCTACTGGGCTGGGGAGGGGGGGGGGGTTTGTAGGCTCAAACTTAACAAACAACGATTGTGAAAACAAGAGCCCTTTAGCGCAATGTTGCCCGGCTGAATTACAAACTATTGCTGGTGTGTTCACCTAATAAAAACCTGTGGGGGTTGGTCTCCTGGGGCTGTTTCAAACCACTCGGTATTCTCATCCAGGCAGTAGTCAAAACACTCCAATCCAAAACATTACGGCCAACAAAAACGTTAAAACCAACCTGGCATATAACCCCGAATAAAATAAAATTTCATTTAAATAATCCTAACAATAGTTTAACCAAAACTATATCACAAACAAAAGACAAAGCTTACTACAGTATACACACACACACTGTAAATTATCGTGAACGGCTTTGGGGAAAACTTACAACTTCATTGGATGCGATGACTCTGTGGCCGCTTAAGAGGCACAGGTGTGTACGCGTACAATTCACAGCCATGTGTGCGCGTTTGCTGCATTGTTGGATGCACGAGAGAGAAGCAGCCTCTGAAGGTTGTATTTATACAACCACCAGAAAAAATATAAATAACTCAATTACACATCTAATTTTCTCATCAAAAACAAGTTTGACACATTTTGGGAGGGTCTCCATTCCATGGGCCACCTCGAGGCCACGTGGAAATTCCACAATGAAATGGCAGAGGCCAATCCTTCTCATGAGACAGCCAACATCGACACCCCACAAAGAGGTCCTCATTTTATTTTGATTTAAAGCGTTCGTGACTGCAGGGATTCATATTCTTGGTTCTTTCGGTAAAGTCACGTAGAAGGGAAACAATAAAATAAAAAAATTCTCAAGACGTTTCGACTGCAACACAAGCAATCATCATCAGGTGTGAAAACCACAACAAGAAAATTTGAAAAAAGTGGCGGTTATTTTTAACGTTAGCACCACGGAGAGAGATTTGACAGTTTGTTCAGATGGACGAGTCCATCTATGTTCGGAAAAGAGGAGGGGGGAGACGAAAAATAATGGATGAGGTCTGAAAGCCACCTTAAGCGTGATCAATCAATTAAGACCCGAAATGGTTTATCAAATCCTTCCAACACCTCGGCCGTGGCAGATCACTGTTATAATTCAGTAGGTTCACATGACATTGACTTCTCCAAGACAGAGGTTATTTGCAAGCCATCTGGCTACCATGAGAGATTCGTTCATGAGGCTATCCACATATACAAACACAGAGACAATTTCAACCGAGAAGATGGATTCTGGCTTAGCAATCATTGGAAGGATTTGATCAACCATTTTGGGCCTTAATTGATTATTCACGCTTAAGGTGGCTTTCAGACCGCATCCATTATTTTTCGTCTCCCCCCTCCTCTTTTCCGAACACAGATGGACTCGTCCATCTAAACAAACTATCAAATCTCTCTCCGTGGTGCTAACGTTAAAAATAACCGCCACTTTTTTCAAATTTTCTTGTTGTAGTTTTCACACCTGATGATGATTGCTTGTGTTGCAGTCGAAACGTCGTGATAATTTTATTGTTTTATATTTTTTTATTTTATTGTTTCCCTTCTACGTGACTTTACCGAAAGAACCAAGTATATAGGTCCTCATTTTATCAGCCCTCGAAAGTTGACGGGCCAAGCGGACCTCCACAGGAGTTACGCACATGCAACCGAGAAAGACGGCGACAAGAGATGAAGATACGTGGGAAAAAATGTAAATAAATTGCAAAAAAATATATACCTGGGCGATTTGGTAACTTTGGATATAAAGCTTTGCGGCTGCTTTTGGTTTTTGGGGAAGGGGGATGGGTGGATTTAACTTATTGACAAAGGGAATTAACTTAGGAGTCAGACAACAGTGAACAAGGGGCAGTGGTGTAGCTTCCGGTAAAGCAGGCAACTGCATTTACCCACACGCTCATACAGAGTGGAGGGTTGGGGGGCTGGTTGGGGTGGGTGCCCCCATGGGTTCCGCCCCACAGTTGTGCCACGGACTCATTTATGGGGAATCGCTGCAACAAAATAAATCATTACTGGATGTGGAAAGGAGTATGAGCATGCCAGATTTCACCTGCAATTTCTGACTTTGAAAGCACTGGTAAAAAAAACATCTGCAGGTCACTCAAAATCCTAATTGCGATTTTGAAGAGAGCATAATGAGCTGTGTCATTGGATAAACTTTTATCACTGCACTGTCTGGATTACATTTGACACAACATGGTATTGGAGACAAACGCGTGACTCCAAAAAAGTCCTTGGGAGTCTCAAACAATACAGAGAATGGCATTTAAGATAAATATTTGAATGGAAGCCAAGGGAAGCATTTATAAAACTTAATGATTATAAAATATTGGTAATTGCAGTTCAGTTTGCAGGCAGTGAACAGAACAGTTCCTGGCCTTCAGTAGCAAATACGAAAAAAAAGTAAAACATGACGTGTTATTTATTTATTTTACCAGGTAAGGCCCACTGAGCCCTAGAACTCTTATTGAGAAGGGACCTGGCGATTAGAAATGATAACTCAACGAAATGGATTATCATGTGGAAATGTATAGCAGCCAAATTCTCTAAACGCATGTTTCCAAATGTGGAGAGAAAATCCGGAGGACCCAGAGAAAAATCCACGGGACCATGGGGTGAGACACGCGCGGACTCCAAATATACAGGCGTCACAACAGGGCTAGGATCAAACCCACGACCTCCGGCATAACAGGCAAGAGAATTCGCATCTCGCTACCACAGATTGTAATCTAACAATATTTCGTGATGGACCACATGACGCGGAACGTGTCTGTGTGTGTGTGTCCGCGCGGGCGGCAGTGTGACGGGTGTGATTGGCCTGGTGGATGGCAGTGTAGCAGTTAGGCCTGGCGTGACGATTCCCGCCGTATGTACTGCACTGGCAGCTCAGAGGCATTGTATCATGACGAACGACGTCGCTGCTCCCAAAGCAAGGCCCAGCGCCAAGAAGAACATCATCACCGAGCCGGCTGTCTCCGCATTGTGGGCCTCCACTCGCCTGCGCGCGCAAACACACACAAACGTCACCCGTTTAGCCGAGCGCGGGAAGTACTGCTGCCGGTGGGCGTCATTGTCGAGCAGCCGCGAAACAAAGATTAGCACGCACCTCACATAAAATGCAACACAATGGTGTGCTGAGGTAACTAATTGGCACGTTTTGTTAACGTGACAAACCTTACTAATTTGGCCGTGCCGGGTGGTGGCAGGTTTAACGACACATTGATATGTACGTGATCTAACCCAAACAAAAATTCATTATGGATTAGCACGGTTGGCTACGTACGGTGCGAAAGAAGTTCAACATACACTCATACATGCAAAGATGCAGCTTCAAAAACAGACACGGATCTTATCTTGTAACTACACGTGCTGGTAAGGTGTCCCCCGGGGCAATCCGAACCCGGGTTTGAAGCTTTGTGAATGATATTTGTTTGTTGTTTATTGAGTGTCAGGAACACTCCGTAAACACTGCTGTGATGCCACTCCGGTGGCATTACATTAAATGCCCAGCAGTCACACTGCAATGATGTCACTCGGGTGCCACAGAGCACCCTTGAAATGTACTTAAGTCTTTTTCCCCTTGGAAGAAGCTTGAAAATCACTTCAGATCGCCCAGCACACGGTCAAAATAAAGGCTGGCGCATTACAAGATTACAAGATGTGTGTTGTGTGGCCGCTGCCACTCATGCCCGACAACCTTCGTCTTCCTTGCGTCTCTTAGAATTAGGACCAACTCATGCTCAGGATACTCAATTTGGGCCGAGTCTACCGAGCGGAAACACGACACAGATACCGGGTGCCCCTGCAGTTGCGCTTGGCCGGAAATCGAACCGAAGACGCTTAAATCTCGCAGCGCTATGGGCTCGCTTGGTAGTAACAGCGCAACGGTAAACCCCGACGCGGAGGTTACATCGCAAAGGGCTACCCCCCCTGGCGAGGGCGCAGCGGCAGCAGCAGCACCTACTTGGGGCCATAGCTCATGGCCAGCGAGGCCAGGTATCCGCTGCTCATGCCGAACAGCAGCATGACGAGGAAGAAGGCGACGTCGTGCGCCAGTAGGGCGCTGCCAAAGGGGTGCGGGGTCACGTTGCACAGCAGGAACGCCGGAATGAACACCAGGCGTGCCGCCACCAGCACCGGGAACCAGCAGCTGTGCTCCCCTGGCTACAAAGAAAGACAAAGTTCCCCTCTTATGCACCGTGAAGACTACACGGGCTGCGGAGGGGCAGGTGCTGTTCAGCGAGCGCCTATGAAGGCTGGCGTGACGCACGAGGGACTTGCGTGGGGTCGACACGTGCTTTGCCTATGCCCCAGGGGTCGGCAATCAAAACAAGAGCAGCCATTTTTTTCGAATTCGGTAAAAAAAAATATTTCAAAAGCCGCAACGCATGTGAATACGAGACGGTCCTTAATACATAACGTCACGAAGCGGTCCTGAATGATCCGCATGGGGCTCCGGAGCAGCAAGTTGCCAAACCCTCCCCATGGTTATCTGGCCTGCCATGGTAAACTGGACTTTCATGGTCAGGAGTTAGCAAACCAAAATAACAAGAGCCATTTTTTTCGAATTTCAAGGGCCTTAAAAAGCCGCAAGCGGCTCCGGAGTCACAAGTTGCCGACCCCTGCCAATGGACTACCCAGTGCCGACGTTTACAGGTGCACCCGGGTGCTCATTCAAGGCCAATTCAACCTACAGCAGGTCCGAGACCCTGTTGATATATTCGCCAGTGATGTTTGGCAGCGGGCTGGGAATGAATGAAACATGTCGCCAGGTTTGGAACACACTCCGGTCTTATCGACTGCGCGGACAAATTGTGAGTGGCGCAGATAATAGCATTCTCTACTGCACTTACATGCTCTCCGCCTTCATCTAACTCGCACTAAGCGGCACGGTGAAGTATGGTCAAACATCCCTCATGACCTGTACAGTTTGGGGAAGGACCTCTCATCCAAGGGTTGTACGCGTGCACACGTCTCCAACCGCCGTCCGGTCTGGCCTGTTCGGCGCGTGCGCTCTGCACGGATGTCATTGGGGAATTTTTGGAGGAGGGTGGTGGTGGGTGGCGGATGTTGGATGCGGTGGGAGGCGCTGGGTGGGACAAAACTCACCCACATGACGACGGCTGTGAGGCTGCGGCCCATGAAGTCACTCACACCAAACGTGAGGAAGCAGCACACGGGCAGGAAGAGGCTGTCTGTCGCACGGGTTCGAGGGGGGGCGGGCAAACGCGGTAATTGAAATTACCGACCGGGCAAATCGTACTACACCAAGAGAGTTGTTGTCCATGCTGCTAGTTTTACATGGGCTGCAAAGCCAGGGAAATAAGAGTTAAAACTCTAAAACTATTTTTATTTTACCAGGTAAGATCCACTGAGCTATATAATTATTATTGAGAAGTGATCTGGACACAAATGATAGCGCAACGAAGTGGCTTATCATGTGGTAATTTATAGCAGCCAAATACTCTAAAACGTATGTTTAGGATTGGGATCGAACCCACGACTTCCTGTTGACCAGGCGAGGTGGTTAACATCTCGCCACCGTGGGTCTGTGACACACGGAAGAAACGTCAAGACCTTATGTGAAATTAGTTTCCCTGTAAATGCGAGCTGGGATTTATTCTGAGTCGTCATGGTGATGCTAAAACCAACATGGCCGATTTTTTGTTACACTGCATGTTACAAGTGTGAAGACGTTTATTCAGAAAACTAGATCAATATTATCTTCATGAAGGCATTTTACAAATATAAAATGTCTGGTATATATTTATATATATGTTTAAACCCATTGGCCAAACAGGCGCCTTTCCTTGTTTAGATCCCATGCAAGAGGGGAGGACGGATTTTGAGGCCTCACAAACCAAGATTTATTACGCAGACGAGGCTAAAAAAGTTAGTAGAATGGCAAGGAAATGTGCAATTGTTTTGTAAATCAACAGCAACAAAGATGCCTGTTGAGCATGGGACACAGCGAAATATTTCTTTAATCACATCACTAAAGCTGTGCACGGGAAAGCTACACCTATATTTTTTTTTAACGTGGAGAGAAACATAATAAGGACAAAAAAAAACAGTTGCAAAAGCCGACTAATGCGTTAAACGGGAGAGAAACAGGCGCTATTGAATGGGGGGGGGGGGGGTTTCTTACTCCACATGTTGTGGGTGCTGAATGTGGCGACGCGCACGGTGAGCGCCGGGAACACGGCGATAGTGAACCAGAACACGCAACACACGCACAGCGCCATCGACCAGATCTGCAAAACACGACAGACGTCGCGCAACGGGTTAGGACTCGGCAAGGCTGTGGAGGTTAAGGGGCTGTTATAGCAAGCAGCCCATTGGTGCCAGCGCAGATAACACGTGAGTGTCGAGCCAGTACCTTCCTGAAGATGATGTAGATGCTGTCGGGCTTAGGACGCTCTTCTCCCTTGTTCAGGTTCAAGAAGGCCTGATTGGGGCCTGCTACTTTACTATCGCCTGTAAAACAGACGGAAATACAGACACACCTACGTGTACATATATAAAACAGAAATAGATTACACGTATGGCCTGCATACTGTTGCCGTTAGCGAGCACGTATGAAAGCCAGCACGGCGCATGCGGGGGAAAGTGTATCCACCACCATGCTCAGCTGCCTTTGTCTCCCCAGTCCAGTGCGAATGCTCACGCAACGCATCGGGTACTGATTTTTTAAATGTCTCGATCTAGGGAAGGCCCCCGGACTGGTTCAGATATTCACCAGCGATGTTGGCCATGAGCAGGAATTTAACACAGCTTTTCCAGGATCACCGTGCCCATAAGTGAACCAAAGCAGCATTGCGTAGGCATGCACGCCATGCACAAAGACCCTCGCCGAGCCGTCTATGCAGCAAGGACAAGTTCGATTCTATTCTCATATTTAGGTATTGGCAAAGGAGGTCCCATGATAAAGGCAAAGTTCGATAAGTTAAGTAAATGGTCAAAGTCTTTCCATCAATGGCGCAGTCCCTGAGCCATTGATGGAAATTCCAAATTCCCATAGCGGTGGCCAGTCTTCCCGCAGGATGACCACTACAAACCTTCCACATATTGTTACGAATGTTAACAATCACAGAGGGATGAAGACCTGAGCTGACACTCAACAATTACCAAAAACGACTATTACTATTTTTATTTTATCAGGTACGGCCCACTGAGCTATGTAGCTATTTATCAGAAGTGATCTGGCCACAAATTACAGCTTAACCAAGTGGTTTATCCATAATAGAGGTTTTTGGGTTAGACCGTGTAAATATATAACTGTGTCGTTAAAACCCACCACCACCCGACACAGCCAACTAGTAAGGGTTGTCACGTAAACAGAACGTGCCAATTCGTCACTAGTACAGCACTAACCGGTGTGTTGGACAACCAAGCCACGACATTTACACACTGAGTACAACGTTTCGCCAGTAATAACAACTAGCTTCAACAGGCGACAGCCAGATTTGTGGAGAAGTCTTACTGTATCGTTCCTTATATAGAGGCGTAGATGTGGTGAGCACCCTTCTGCGCTCTTGCACAATGTGGGGGGGGGGGGCGGGGTGACTGAGTCTGCGTACATTATGCATGTGCATTATGCGAGCCCTTTGAACTTGTCCTTCTGTCTATTGTGTTTATTAAAATAGCCCTACCAACGGTAATCCCTATTGAAGTACGCTGCCCTTTGTAGGCATGCATTTAAATAATGTGTAAAGACAGTACAGAGCAAGTGGGACAGTATGGTTCCCCGGGACCACGGTTACTAATGGACGTGCTAGTGATGATTGATGAGACAAACATTGACAGGGTCACATGAGGGGGAGCACGGGATCCAATGGCGGGGGAAGTATAATTAAGGCGGTGAGTGACAGAGCAGGTGCGGCGTGGAGAATTCGAGAATAGGGGCGTGGCCGGACCGGGCCAGGCTTAAGAGCCGGAGCTGGTGGCTGTTGGTGTGGGGAATCGTCGTCGTCATCGTCGCCTTGGAACGGGTCGTCTCCATCGTCTGCGAGTTGTCTTGAAACTAGAAGCTATGTTGTCTCAGCCGTCTAACTATCCAAGTATATATATTCACTCGTGGTTACTCGTTATCAGTGGACTTTATTAATAATAAATATACAGAAAGACAAGACGGTGTCTCTGAGAGCTACATTACAAATGTATTATTTGATGATTCGCTTCCACGCAGCACTAAGGCGGTAGCTATCCGAACGGTTAAAGTTATTTTGATTTCTTTCAATTTCGAGAGATTCTCTAATTAGTCTTGACAGGCCGAACGAGCGAACGCACATGACGCAAGCACGTGCACACGCACGCGGGTCACCCACCATTAGCGATGTGTTCATTTTTGTTTTCTGTGTCATCCGTGGTGGTGGGGTGGTTGTCTTTGTACAGGTAATACCTGGCGAATTTCTGCATGGGGCGGTGGGGGAGGCACAGCAGCACAGAGGAACATGACGGGCATCGCGAAGACGACGAGCAAAACAAAAGGTACGATCTGAGAGAGACGCCGACTAAGCTTGCACAAAGACACAACACGCCAGAGTGCGTACCACGGAGGAACAGGTGCGGCGAGACCGTGAGACAGAGAGTGAATGCGAAAATAAAACGGGGAGTGTACAGGAAGACGAAACATTTGGTCGAGGGCAGAAATGGATGACTTGTAGAAAGAGGGAGAGAAGGGAGAGGGGAAGGTGTGGGCAAGGATGGCAGGATGTGATTGAGAGAGGAAGAAATGGAGAATATGTAGAGAGAGGAACAAGGAGGGAGGGGATAAAGTAGAAATGGAGGCGACAGAAAAAGTGAATGCAAGATAAAAAAAAGGTGGAAGATCAGTAAGGGATTGAAATTAAAAGCGAGAGAAGGATGGAAGGAGGAAAGCGGAAGAAGAGGAGATGGTAGAAAGGAAAGGGAGGGAAGAACGGAGAGGAAATTGGAGGGGAAATGAAAGGATGGAGACAGAGATAGAGAGGGTAGAAAGGAGAAGTGGATGGAAGGCACAGAGTGAAGCGAGGAGGACACGGTGGTGAGATGGAATAAGCCATGGTGGGTGGTGGGATCGGTGCGGTGGTGAGATGGAGTAAGCCATGGTGGGTGGTGGGATCGGTGCGGTGGTGAGATGGAATAAGCCATGGTGGGTGCTGGAATCGGTGTGGTGGCGAGATGGAATGAGCCATGGTGGATGGTGGGATCGGTGCGGTGGTGAGATGGAATAAGCCATGGTTGGTGGTGGGATCGGTGCGGTGGTGAGATGGAATAAGCCATGGTGGGTGGTGGAATCGGTGTGGTGGTGAGATGGAATAAGCCATGGTGGATGGTGGGATTGGTGCGGTGGTGAGATGGCATGAGCCATGGTGGGTGGTGGGATCGGTGTGGTGGTGAGATGGAATAAGCCATAGTGGATGGTGGGATCGGTGCGGTGGTGAGATGGCATGAGCCATGGTGGGTGGTGGGATCGGTGTGGTGGTGAGCTGCAATGAGCTATGGTGGTTGGTGAGATAGGTGAGGCGGCGAGTGTGTGGGGGATTGGGGGTGGAGGGGCTCACCAGACGAGGCAGGTAGAGGTAGCTAAATATGGCGATGGCCGTTACAACGCACGCTGTCACGAAATACCAGAACGCAGCCGAGCGAGAGTCTGAGCCACCTGTGGGGGAGAGGAGGGAGATGGGCGAGGGGACATCGCTGCATCCGACCGCATGTCTCCCGCGCGTCTCCTGGTGGTGCCGTCACCGTGGAGACCCAAACTGTTGGTGTGGTTGTAACCGTACAATGAATCGTCGCCATTCTGGATCTCAATCCCATTTCTTCTGCCCCCTTTTTCACCAACGAATATTTTTTTGTTGACCAAAACATGTATATTCACTAATGAATCGATGCATTTCCTACGACGGCAGGGAATGCTGTTCAAGTTTATTTGTAGTTTAGTTTTGTTTAACCAGGTGAGGACTTGCGTGGCGCGAATGAGTCTCATTTGAAAGTGACCTGGGGTTACGAAGATGACCAAAGCGAAACTAGTAAAATAAAGCACAGCAATGAAGCAAGCCAGTGCAAAAACAACTGTGCCACAAGACACATCGAGAATACTGCGCCAACATAAATCATTGTGAAAATAACAAATTCAATGCAGTGCAAGTCTTCTCGGGCATGTTCTTTTTTACGTTTTGTTGTGTTGGTATGGCACAGGTCCTGTGACACGCTACAGTGCGGCAGTACGGCACAGCACCGTGCGTCAAGTGCAACCGTGCAGTGTCACGAGGTGTTTGGAGGTGCCTTGCCACCGCATGCCCAAGCAGCTTTTGTTCGGCCAGATAGGTGGAGCGAAACGGGCGTGGTACGGGCTAGCGGAGAGATTGACTGATGTGGCGTAGAAGGATGTGGAACTGATTGGACTTGCCGATGACTGGTACCAGCGGTCAAGATCGGCCTCTGTGGAGGAGGTTCATGAAGGACGCTACTGGGCAGTTGGAGGCAGTCGTCCTATTAACAACAACGGAGGGAAGAGGAGCGCTGGGTGGCTAAAATACAGAAACTTGGCAAAGTGGTGAACGCAGTCGGTGCATCTGCCAGCCATCTCAGTCAAACCATGGCACGTGGGTCTGTACCGTGAGTTCCTGCCAGCAAGCCTTCGACAATTCATGTGGCCTCAAAGTGCACCTAGCATGGCACAAGCCCCGTGGTGATGTCGTCGCCACTTAGTGGTGAACGGCGATTGTTGCTGTGGAGGTGTGAAGTGGCGAGCGGTAGCGTTGTGGTTCGCGCTCCGCTACGAACCCGGCAACCAGAGTTTGATTTCCGCTAGTGGCCAACACTAGCGATGATCATCTGAACCAGTCCTGGGCCTCCTCAAGGTCGATTCAGCCTTAAATGAGGCGTGGTGCTGGCCACCTACCCCCTCGTGAGCCGTGCCGGCCTTCACAGGTGCTCGCTCACAGCACTTTCCCTAAACAATCCGTTCAGGCTCCACGGGTGATCTTTGTCTTTGTATGATGTGGCGAGGTGCTTACTGAGAATGGAGAAGATCATGGCGAGGGCGGTGAAGATGCCGGACATGCCCTGCCCGCTCATGACGGGGGCCGTGTAGCCAGGGGGGAGCCGTCCCACAAGGCCAAACACGCTGCTCTGGAACACAGCGCCAAACGCTGCACACGCACACGCACGACATCAACAAGTAGTGACGTGTTGTTGTGTTTATAACGTCTTTTACGGTCAGTCCTGCAGATGCATTCCTGAAAAGTCCCAGGTAAAGCGAAAACGCATTATGCTAGGAATTACTCTACAGTATACCCTCGTTATTGACGAACTTGCTATCTGCAAATTGCATCTGGAACTGTACACGACTGCACCAATTGAGAGAGAGAGAAAGTGATCTCCGGAATGTATCCCTCGCGAAGAACGAGGGAATACCGTATACACATTGCGGCAGTCACCCTATGGCGGGACAAAGAACTGAGCTGTAGGTATGCCGCCACGTGCCGTATCACTCCGCGCGTATACCCAGAATTCCCACACCGCTCAACTTCGCAGCTCAAGAAAGTAGTTCGTCGCCGATGGCTCAGAAACGGTGTCACAACGGCGTGCGTTCCGCGTTGTGCAGTAAGTGTTCCCAAATGGAAGAACCGCGTCACAGCGAAAACGCGTTGCGTGAGGATTTACTTTTCAAGTTATGTATGAATGCATATGGTATGGGGAGCGTGAGTGTAGTGGGTTAGCACACTGCACTATGAACCCGGAGATTGATTCCCGCTCACGACTGCGAACAGTGACAAATATATGAACTGGTCCTGGGCCTCCTCCCTCGGTCAACTCGGCCTCAAAGGAGTATCGGGTGCGGCGTGTAAGCATCACCACTGGGGGATTACAAAGGAGGCCGGGCGTGGCGCTGGCCACACCATTTCCTCGTGTGACGTGTTGGCTTTCGTAGGTGCTCGCTAACACAGCACTTGCCCCAACAGTCTACGGGGGGGGGGGGATAACTTCACAGAGGGATTTGGCGATAATTGTGTCGTCGAGACCACGAGACCAATTTTAAACGCGACAATTTGATTCGTTTGTCTGTGTCGGGTGCTTGAGAGTCTCAACCACACAAATTTGATCCGATCATTCCATGGGCCATCCCAAACGTCTATCAAGAACAAGAAGGATCTCCGTCTTGTACATACCAGCTTAACGGTGGTGGCTATTATGCACGTGGTCTGTAATGCAGCACTGTCGAGGCAGTGAACGTCAAGGAGGTGCTATACCCTGGCTCGCCAGGAGAAGGCGGTACGGCAAACAGCAGACCATCTGTATGGGATACATCGTTGCCCCCTCGCATGTGTGTGCTTTCTCCGGGCGCCCCGGTTACCTCCCACACATATCAACACCCATTAATTGAATGAAAACATCTTAATATAGAGATGACCGCAGAGCTTGGACAACTGTTGGTGCTGATTCGCCACGTTGCCGCCTTCCCGTTTGTCTGTGCTTCGTCGCGGAAGCAGAGGGCAGTGCAGAACAGTCCATTGTTATATTACACTACACCTCCTTGTCTACGCTACTCAACTTTTACCTACGACCCACACGGCGTGCGGGAGGTCCTTATCCAGGCAGTGCACTGTTACCAGAATTTTCAAAGCCAGACTTTTGTCGGCGGTTCAGAATGTCACGTGGCACGTTAACCTTGAGGCTGATGTTATCAGGAAGAGGATGTTACGAGGGGCGGAGTGCTTGTGCAGGATGGAGGAGGGCCGCTTACCAAGACAGGGGCAATAAATTGGCACCCAGAGGTCATTGACCCAAAGCCAGGCGGTCGTGGTGACGGACTACAACATCGGATGGTGGATGTCAGATGTCAACTGTGCAAGGGATGCAGCATCTCACAGCAGCAGGGAAGCGATGACAAGGTGTGGGAGAGGTATCACCAGGATAGCGTTTGCAGATTGTGCAGCGTTGTGAGATGCAATTTGCACGAACAAAGAGACAGAGAGAATCCCCCGTGATCACGTGCACATGCGACTGTGCGGTTGTGTGGTTGTGGGTAGCTGTGGGGCTGTGGGTTTGTGGGGCTGTGTGGCTATGTGATTGTGTGGCAGTGATTGTGTGACTGCGTGACTGTGTGGCTGTGGGGGCTCTGGGGCTATGGGCTGTGAGATGTGTGGCTGTGAGGCTGTGTGGCTGTATGGCTGTGTGGCTGTAGGGCTGTGGGATGTGTGGTTGTTCGGCTGTGTGGCTGCTGTGTGACTGTGGGATATGTGGCTGTGGGGCTGTGTGGCTGTGGGATGTGTGGCTGTGTGGCTGTGAGGCTGTGAGGCTGTGAGGCTGTGTGGCTGTGTGGCTTTAGGGCTGTGGGATGTGTGGCTGTGGGGCTGTATGGCTGTGTGGCTGTAGGGCTGTGGGATGTGTGGTTGTGGGATGTGTGGTTGTTTGGCTGTGTGGCTGCTATGTGACTGTGGGATGTGGCTGTGGGGCTGTATGGCTGTGTGGCTGCTGTGTGACTGTGTGACTGTGGCGCTGTACGGCTGTGGTGCTGTGGAGCAGTGCGCGAGGGGACCCACAGTTGATGAGGAACACGGTGACCATGGTGATGCCAAAAAAGGCGCTGGGCGACAGGGAGCTGGCCCACACGAGGGAGCCCGTGATCACGAACATCATCAGGATGCCACCCAGCCCCCCCACGATGCGCAGCTTGATCGGGATCCTGCACCGCAGGCAAGGGGGAAGAGGGGGGGAAGGAAGAAACACAGCCAATTAGTCACGTAAACAAAACGTGCCAATTAGTTACTACTTCAGCACACCGGTGGGTTGGAGACCTAACCCACACATTTACAATTTGTGTCCAACACGCTGGTGTAGTGGACACAAATTGAGTGGTGGTGTGGTGTAGTCCGGCAAAACAACCCCCTACCTCCTCGTTGGTGCCGGACGGTAATGCTGTGATGAGCAGTGCCATGGGGGAAGGGCCAATTTCGACTGGCCATTCCCCTCATGGCGTTTGTAGTCACCAAAGCAGCCAAAAAGTTGTTCTGGATGGGTGCGAGAGCGGCTGGTAACCCCTCCACCTTCAATTTAATTACCACAAAACCACGTGAAAAATATACAACTAAGTTTGTGTCAGAGGTCCCGAGGAGACGGCCGTCTATGACATCTTCTGGCCAAACCCCGTTTGGCGGAGCCAGGAGACTGAATCCTTACACTCGCGGTTCTCCAGAAACAACAAAAAGCCACTACGGGTGGCCACGTGGAATGTTCGAACGCTCACTGCGGAGGAGAGGCTGCCAATCCTCTGTCGGGAGCTGGACCGGTACCGGCTGGATCTCTGTGGTATTCAGGATGTCCGTGGACCGGCTCTGGCTCCTGCCACCATGAGGGGTGGACAATCCTCTACTCAGGGCAGGAGACTGCCAAACAACAGAGTGCATGGAAGCGTGGCGGTGAGGTGTGGGAAGCTATAAGCCCCAGGCTACTTTGGACTCGCCTTCCAATCAACCAGAGGCGAGGAGTGGTGGTTGTGATTATTTATGCCCCCACCGAAGATGAACATCAGTGGAGGGATGCAGGCAAGGCCGATGAGTCAGATGCCTTCAATGACCTCCTGTCACAGGTGCTGGCTAAAGTGGCCCCTCGGGACAGAGTCATCCTGTTGGGTGACTTTAATGCTCGAGTTGGTCATGATGCTGGCACCTGGTCTGGAGTGATTGGAAGGCATGGGCCAGATCAGCTCAATAACAACAGTAGGAGGCTGCTAGACTTTTGTGCAGCCCATGGGTTTGTAATTACCAATACGCTGTCCCATCATCGGCGCATCTTGGATGCACGCCGGGTCCAAGCAAGAACATCTGCTGGACTACATAGTGACGGAACAGTGGATGTGGGCCCATGTCTTTGAAACCAGGACCTACCGTGGAGCTGATCTGCCAACTGTAAGATGCGCTTGCCATTCTTCCACTCCAGTAGTGGGTGTACACCCAGGACCCCATTCAAATCCACAGCAGCCTGGTCTCAGCTAGCTGACGAAAGTTGCAAGCGAGAATTTCATCATCGCTTTGCAGCTAGGGTTGGCATCGTCCCCCACTCCTCCTGATGCCGAGGGGAAATGGGCGAGGTTTAGGACTATGGCTCATGCAGCTATAATGGCTGCTTTGGGTAAACGGTCCAGACCTCCCCAGAGACCCTGGCTGACAGAGGTGTTCAGGCAGGCTGAGAAAAAGGAACAGGCCCACTCTCACCATCTACAGCATCCCACGTCGGAGAATGAGGCTTACTGCAGCCTTCTTTTGAAGGTTCGGAGAGCCGTGAGGCGCTGCAAGGATGGGTGGTGGTCGCGGGTTGCTGAGGAGATGAAGTCTGCCTCAGTAGCCCGCAATCACAAATCGCTCTTTAACTCCATCAAATAAGTAACTTGTAGCGCCACACCTATCACCATCATTATGGGAAAGAAAGGTGATCCGATCACTGACCCCCAGGAACAGGTTTGCAGATTTGCACAACATTTCTGTGAGGTCTTGGGGGAGGGGAAATCCCTCAACCTGGAAAACATGGGGAAGTGGGGATGACCCTACTTCGGCTGCGTGCTTCAAATATTGGAAGAAGTAGTCACCCCCTGTGGGTGGCAGGCTGAGGTGCCATCTATTGAGGAAGTACAGAAGGCGATCCAGAGTCTGAGAAAAGGATAATCTCCCGAGCAAAATGCCGAGAGAGGGTGGCGTTTGTACCCAGACTGCCCTACATGACATCATAATAACAGTCTGGACCACTAGACGGGTTCCGCAGGATTGTAAAGATGCCCTGGTGGTCCCCCTCTCTAAGAAGAGGGACTGCACAGACTGTAACAACTGCAGGGTCATCTCCCTCCTCAGTGTGCTGGGAAAGATCCTGGCAAGGATCATTCAACATCACCTTGCCAGACACGCTGAGGAGAAACTTGCGGAGCCCCACTGTGGTTTCAGAAAAGGGCGGTCCTGCACAGATGCCATATTTTCTGTCCGTCTGCTACAGCAGAGGTGTAGGGAATTCCAATAGGACCTACATCTTTTCTTTATTGACCTGGTCAAGGCCTATGATACCATCAGTAGACCTGGGCTCTGGGTTGTCCTTCGTGCTTTTGGAGTCTCTAACTCTCTGCTCACAATCATTAAGGACCTCCATCATGGTGAGCAGGCCCGTGTAAAACTACGTGGCTGAGAGTCAAGAGCCATTCCCTGTTCACCTTGGGGTGTGACAGGGATGTCCTCTGGCTCCCACATTATTTAACATCTATTTTGACCACGTCGTTTATTAAGCGTTCGATGGCTGTACCAGAGGAATTTCCATCTGGTACAGATACAATGGGAGGCTAATCGATGCCTGGGTGCGGTAAAGGGATGGCTCGCTAGTTGTCAACCATGTTATGTATGCCTATAATTTGGTGATTGCTGCTCACTCAGAGGAGGAGTTGGAGGCGCTGCTGCTGAACCTGGAGCGTGCCACTAAGAGGTGGGGCCTTACCATCAGCCACACCAAAATTAAGCACTTGTCTGGGTATATGTACCATCAGACACTCCACCCCCACAACTCCCAATTGGTGATGGGGCAGTTGTAGAGTGGAGAGTTTTCCATACCTGGGCAGTATGCTCATGACCGGATCCGGTTTGACTAAAGAAGTCTCACTCCGAATCAGTCGAGCGGCATTATCTTTTCATCGGCTGCGTAATGCTGTGTGGAAGCTACCTGGTCTGTCACTCCACACGAAGCTTCGGGTCTTCTCGGCCACGGTCATGCCCTCCCTTCTCTACACTTGCAAAACGTAGACCCCCCCTAAAAGGAACATCTTTGCCGGTTAGAAACATTTAGACCTGCCTGCCTACAATCCATGTTGGGTTTAACCAGGCTTGATTGTGTGAGGAGCTCACAAATACTTGAAATATCTGGAGAAAGTCCCATTGCTAAGATCCTCCGGCAGGCAAGACTGCGTTGGCTGGGTCATGTAGCCCGCATGCCCAGCCACCACATGCCTAAACAGCTTTTGTTCGTCCAGATGGAAGCGGCTAAACGGGCACGGCACAGGCTAGAAAAGGGATGGGGTGATGTGGTACAGGAGGACGTGGAGCTGAGTGGACTTGCCGATGACTGGTACCAGCGGTGTCAAGATCGGCCTCTGTGGAGGAGGCTCGTGAAGGACGCTACTGGGCAGTTGGGAGGCAGTCGCCCTCCAGCAACATCGGAGGGCAGCGAAGCGACTCTCACAACAACGAGCGGAATGCCGGGTGGCTACAACACAGCAATGTGGCACACTAGGGGACACAGGTGGTGCATCGCCTACTCGTCTCAGTCATCTCAGTCAGTCGACCCATGGCACCTGGGTCTGTCCCGTGACCTGCCAGCGGGCGTTCGACACTTCCCGTGGATAAGTGCTGTGGTGACGTCACCACCATTTAGTGGCGAATGGTGATTGTTTTTAGTGTTGAGGCGAGTCGTGGTGTGGAGGTGAGAGGTGGTGTTGGGAGGGGTCGGTGGTGTGGTGTGTAGGTGAGTGGTGGATAGGTAAGTGGTGGTGTGATGTGGAGGTGAGTGGTGGTGTGGTGGTTAGTGGTAGTTTCGTGAGGGGTCGGTGGTGTGGTGTGTAGTGTGGTGTGTACGTGAGTGGTGGTGTGGTGTGTAGGTGAGTGGTGGTGTCGCGAGTAGTCAGTGGTATGGTGTGGAGGTGAGAGGGAGTGCGTTGGTATGGGGAAGTAGGGGCAGTCTCAGCTGGCTGAGGACACGTTCAAATGCGGACGTGTCAGTCGGCGCATAAGACAGCTGTCACTGTGTCCACTGCAGCGGAAGCTGCCTACGTGACGACAAGCCAAGGACGGGGCTCACAAGGAAGGTTGCACCCCTACCGTAGGGGAGGCTTGCCCCACTCCTGACAAGAGGCGTGGTGGACGGGTAGGCATGGGCGCGCGCTTGTGTGTCTGTGCGAGGCTCACAGCGTGTGCAGCATGGAGTTGAGGCAGCAGAAGATGAGCAGGGGCACCATGGAGCATATGGTCATGGTGCTGTCAAAGTTCTTGGACAACTCGCTCTCCCACGCAGGTGCACCAGAAATGGTGTCATTGCTGTCGTTGCTGTTCCTGGCCGTGACGTTCTCTTTTTTGTCTTGCAGGCGGCCCTTGAAGTACTGCAACAGAGCCAGGGACAGCGACAGGTGAGCGGGCGAGTACACTCGGGCACGTAGTAATTTACGGTGCGAAGTTTAACACGCGTACGTACGTTAGATGCATTCAAAGATTTCCAAGGCGCCAATGCTGATGGATTCCGCCACGCTGGGTGCGGTGATGCACCGAGCGCGTGACCCAGTGCCGTCAAAGCTGGGAGTTTGCATTTCACGCTGCGGGACTGTGAGGCATGCGGGACTGTGAGGCATCCGCAACAGCATAGCAAGCGGGTTCACGCCCCCGTCCGTGCAAAACCCTTTGTAGGCGCAGGTTTTTACCAGCCGCTCAGGTTTCCTCTTCTGTGAAATATTATCTCTGAACAAGGAAATGAGTTGACGACTGTAAGGCAGGGCACAATCTCGAGGTTATCTCAGCCCATTTCCCTTTGATTAAACCAGGAATATCAAGAGGTTCCTGCTGGTTGGCACTCGTGCTCAGGCGACGTGTGGCATTCACAGACTCCAGGACCCAGTTTGTTACTCGTCTTAAGGAGCCTCGGCACCACAGTCGGTCAGAATGTTGTTTGATCGCCACGTGCAATAATATCATCAGGTCCTGCAATTTTCATGTCAGGGCTCTACGACACACTCGGCTGCTATTGAGTCACGACAGTCAACGCGGTGCAATGTAGCACAGGGCAGCCAGTCCTCTACTCACGAACACACGACTTTGTGAACATCCGCACCCTCGCTATATGCGAGTTCTGGATTCGCGAGTTTCGCGAGCAACTCAATGTCTACCAATTCCCAAGTCGCGACCCGCCAGACTACAGCGTTCGCGAGTGCGCTCCGTAGTGCCAGACCACCAACATTGGGGAGGTGCGCGCAGAATGTTGTTACATTTGAAACGGTCTGCGAAGATTTAGCCACGCTCACTGGGCTGTCCGCTTTGTCCTCAGTCTCAAAGCAATCTCGTTCTGAACTCGCTATTAGGCATTTTTTTTTTACTTTATACGTACTTAGTTGACTTCGTTAACACATTTTGGTATAAGTAGACTGTGAGGTCCGTTAAAAAGAACGTGAATGCAGTTAGGGAAAGTGTTGTAGCGAGCACTCCCCCAGTCTTAAATGATAACTGTGCGGCGTTTTTATCACCCGCATCTCCCGATGAGTCATCCTCCTGAATTCCTCACCATTGCCTCCAACATCATCAAATGATGATCATCAAAAGCACTTGAAAAACAAGTTATATTCTTGGTTTTTTCGGTAAAGTCACGTAGAAGGGAAACAATAAAATAATAAAAATATAAAGCAATAAAATTATCACGACGTTTCGACTGCAACACAAGCAATCATCATCAGGTGTGAAAACCACAGCAAGAAAATTTGAAAATGTGTTTTTTTTTTACGTTAGCACCACGGAGAGCGATTTGGCAGTTATTCAGATGGACGAGCCCATCTATGTTCGGAAAAGAGGAGGGGGGAGACGAAAATAATGGATGCGGTCTGAAAGCCACTGCCACTCTGCGCCCAACTTTATAGAAGAGGTACGTGGATGGCACTTTTGTTATCTGGCCACATGGCCGGCCTGCTCTAGACCAATTCCTCGACCACATCAATTCCATACACCCAGCCATCAGTCGAAAAAGATGGCAAGCTACCTTTTTTGGATGTCCTAATAAAAAAGAGACCTGATGGTTCAATGAGCCACTCTGTCTACAGGAAAGCTACCCATACGGATGCTTACCTGAAACCGGATTCCCACCACCATCCATTCCAGAAGAATTCCCTCATCAAGACTCTGCACCATAGAGCTCAATACATATCCGACCAGGAACACATAGCCAGTGAACTCAAGCACGTACACCAAGCTCTTAAGGCTAATGGTTACTCCGACTACACAATCCGCAAAGCTATCACTCCAACCATGAAGGACCCTCTTGAGAAGCCTTTCAAAACCATCGCTTTACCCTACATTGCGGGGATCACAAAAAATATCTCCAAAATCTTGAATAAACACAAGATCCAGGTCAGATTCAACACATTACATAAAATCCATGATCTGGTTCCATCTGTAAAATATGCGATTCCAGACATGCAGTACCCTGGCGTCTACAAACTAAGTTGCCTCTGTGGTAGTAGTTACATTGGAGAAACCAATCGCCATGTCTCGGACCGCATTCGTGAACACAAAGCAGACCTAAAACATGGCAGGACCAACACCTTGGCCATGGCAGATCACTGTTGTAATTCAGTAGGCTCACATGACATTGATTTCTCCAAGACAGAGGTTCTTTGCAAGCCATCTGGCTACCATTAGAGATTCGTTCATGAGGCTATCTACATATACAAACACAGAGACAATTTCAACCGTGAAGATGGATTCTGGCTTAGCAATCATTGGAAGGATTTGATAAACCATTTCGGGTCTTAATTGATTATTCACGCTTACGGTGGCTTTCAGACCGCATCCATTATTTTCGTCTCTCCCCTCCTCTTTTCCGAACATAAGATTGACTCATTCTTGTTTTTTTTCTCTTGTGGTTTTCACACCTGATGATGATTGCTTGTGTTGCAGTCGAAACGTTGTGAGAATTTTATTGTTTCCCTTCTACGTGACTTTAACGAAAGAACCAAGAATATGAATCCCTGCAGTCACGAAAGCTTTAAATCAAAAGTTGTTGTTAATTATTTATTGTAGTCATCGTTATTAAAGATTTATTATTTCCCCCCTATGTTCACTGGTACCAGGAACGTAACCCCGTTTGTCCTATTGGGACAAGGTTTCTGCATTCGCGAAAAGTTTCAAAGAATGTAACCCTCACAGATAGAGTTTACTGAATTTATTTTGAATATCGACTTAAAACGCAAACTCGCGAAACAATTCTCTCATTTGTTGCTTTATTTGTGTTTTATTTGCAAGTGAATATTTATCACAGTATTACATGTAAATACACAATACTTCTTATTTAAGAGTTTAACAATGTTTCCCTTTTTTGTCAAACCGTAAGATATTGTATAAGTGACCATATGGGCAATTAAAATCCGGTACATTATTGTGTTCTGCCTAACGAACTGCTCGACTCTAAAACGGGTCTCAACTGAACCCGTTCCTAAGTCAAGGACTGTCATTATTGACAAAGCTCGATTGTTGCAACTTACTACTCTACTGAACGTCTGGAAAATTATTGGCACGCCGCAATGTGTCCAAAATCCTTTGACACGTGTTGCGATGGGTACTGTAAGATCTGACCGTGTCCGTCCGGTCCTTGCTGAGCTGCATTGGCTTCCGGTTGCTGAACGAATACATTACACAAGTTCGCACTCATTGCACACAAAGTGCTTGCCACAAATGAACCACGATACCTTGCTGATCTCAAGTAGCATAAACCATCACGCAAATTCCGTTCACCCTCCCAGCAGCTTTTGGCTATCCATCGAAAAAAGACGGTGGTCACCGCATCGTACACTTTCAGATGCGCTACTGCGGCCTTCTGGAACGCTCTTCCTTCCGATATTGGAAAGCCACTGTGGGAGCTATGCACTTTTAAATAATCTAGATTGAAAACTAATTTCTTTAGAATTTCTCTGATTAGCACGATTGGCTACATATGGTGCAAAATAAGTTCAACGTATACACATACGTACATATGTCCCACGCTAGGTGGTGCTATCTTGCTCTGTCATGAAAGTCAAAGGTCAAAGTGGTTTCTTACTCTGATGAGCATTGAGGCTGTGCTCTTCTCTTGTTTCAAGCCCTGAGCCAGTGGTGAAAATTCCACATTCCTATGGTGAGGGTATTATCCCACAGGGCGACGACCGCCTTCCCCACAATCACGCGTCCCTGCGATTAGGGCGTTCATGGTGCAGCCTACAGGCGTGTTCGTGACGTGTGCTGTGTTATGGTGCAGCCGGTAGGGTGTTCAGCGTGCAACGAATATGGTGTTCATAGTGCTGCATACCGGTCGACGTTGTGTTCATGTGGAGTGCACCATGAACGCCATTTGACAAGGAAGGTGTCGCGGTGTTTAAAAAGAGGTTCAAGGTGTATTGTATAATCTCTTTGATGTATTTTAACTAAATGTGATACTTTCCATTGTTTTTGTGCAACCAAAATGTTATTGATGTCACGCTTACTTGTGAAGCGCTCTGTGACAATTTCACTCTGATGGGTGCAATATGAAAGTTTGATTGAGAGGCCAAGTTAACCCCCAAGCAAGGATTTGAACTCGCAACCTCGCGATTGCGAGCCGCTCACTCTACTGCTGCCATGGACTTTTCAATCTAGATTCAAAACTAATTTCTTTAGGACTGCTTTTATGTTTTAGTTTGTTGTCCCTCCCCCTGCACCTCAAATAACCCAACCGATAATAGATATCCATTGTAATTTATGACTTTAACCCCCCCCCCCCGCCCCCTCTGGTCTTTGCACCTGATTGGCTCACACGTGACATCATCACATTCACCTCACGTCTATTTAAGACCGAAACAGGCAGGAGGATTTCTCCACAATTCTGGCCGTCGCTTGATGAGGATGGTTGTAGCACTTGCCGGTGAAATGTCGTACTCAAATTGTAAATGTTAAGGGTTTACTCTCCAACACACCGGTGGTGTACTCGTAACTAATTGGCATGTTTTGTTTACGTGACGAGCCTTACTTAATTGGCTGTGTCGGGTGGTGGTGGTGTGTTTAACGACACATTTATATTTAAGCGATCTAACCAAAAAGAAAAAAAAACCCTCTTATGGACGTACATTTACGTTCGTCCTCGGGGCTGTGCTGGGATAGATTACGTGGAGAGGAAAAAAACAGTATGTCGTTCTTTTCGAAGCTCCTGCCATTTCAGAATGAGTATGTGCGGATCGCATGACAACATCTACTGGAATGTGCCCCACCTCGTCAGATTTCTCAAGCTAACCCGGGCGTTGAGCTTGAATAGGTGACCAGCCTGCAAAAACAAGTGCAATCCAGCAATTTGGAGGAGAGGGTCATGTAACATGCACCGTGGTGGCGAGATGTTAAC